AAAAGGGGATTACTGTAACAAAGGGGGTTACCGTGGCCTGCGCCCATTGGCCAGGCCCCGGCTAGGCGGGTGGGAAGTATCAAAAATTACTTACAAAAGAACCTGTAAGCTGGGGTTTTTGGGTCTGTGCCCATGTACAGGGATGGAGACAGCCAGACCCTAGTCAAGGTCGCAGGCGCCTCCTTATCAGCCTGAGGCCCAGAATTGCTAACTAAGCTAAACTGCTTTCCTTCAAGTTTCTTCCAAAATTCACAGGGCCCAGTTAACCTGAGTTTCACAGACGAAAGTGACACATTTTGGAAAAAGCCTATCTAAACCTTTTTCAGGAACTAAATCTCATTCCACTATTTACTAGTCACCCCAAGTTTATGTCACAATTTTAAATGCTCTAAGAAACGACTGAAATTAAGTGAAATTGCTGTCGGCTGGGCGTCTGATCCAAGGATAGATAGGTGGCTTCCTGCCATTTATTTGCAGGGTTCTTTGAGGACACAAGAGAGTGAGGAGGGAGGGAAGGAGTTGAAAAAGCAGTGCACTGGGGTTGGCATGGAACATTGTCTCCCTGGTTCCCCTTCTTTTGTCCAGGTGTTCTTAATCTTTTCGACAGAGCCCCATAGACAGTCTCTTGATAATGAAGTCAGAAGAGATGTGTCATCCCAGACATTAACTATGACATTTGTCTAGCTTGTGTGTATATGGGTCTCCATGCTAAGTATTTATAGTATTCTTGCAAAACTTCAGAAAAATTGCAGGACAAGAAAGTGTTTAGGGAAGAAAACTTACTCAAGATATTCTTTTGATTCACTTAAAAAATAACTACTTTTTCAAAGGTTTCAAATATGTTTTTAAAAACTCTCACTTTGAATTTTATTGTATTAGTGTTTCTTCTTAAAAATATTTATTTATTTATGCATACAGAACTGGGATACAGGCCAGAGGTTCAGTGGCAGTGAAAGAAGTTAACAGAGACAGAGTGGGAAGAAAAAAAGGCAGATCAATGAATGGGTGGGTTAGGAAAGGTCTGCCACACCTTGTTAGTGTTTCTTAAAACACAATACAAAAAAAAAAAACACACACACACACACAATACCTACCTGCATTGTGTTGGGTGATTTTTATAAAGTATCTCATTTAATCACTTTCAAAGTTAATTGTGCTACCTTCAAAGGAATTATTATTCCCACATGTAGGTGAATGGATTGGGAATCAAGAGGTTAATGATATGAACATAGTTATACAAGCAACAGAAGTCTGAGCTTTTATTTCATATGACATGGTGGGGGGGGGCTTCTAAAATCCCCGTCCACATTACATGTAATCTATTGACTTTAATATAATATTGGAATCAAACAAATGCACCTATTCAAATTGCTTGTGTTACTATATGATTATTTAACATAAGAAAAGGTTGTATCCAATATAAAATCATGTAATCCAGTCACCTACCCAGAATAAACTTTTCACTAATATGCATTCCACATCCACACATACTTTGTTAGAGGAATAGAAGCCACCGTAGTGAGTGCGAGTTGGCATTTTGATTATTTTGAGTTGAATGCTCAAAAATTGAGGGTAACTTGAGACAACAGAGGGTGCAGGAAGGGCTCGCCAACCTCCCCACTTTCTACCCAAAAACAGGTCATAACATTTCTTGTGAAAAGGTATCTTTTCTGCATTGGAAGGAGAAGAATATTCTTATCACCAGAAGCTGGTATGGAAGCTGGGCCTACATAAACCAAGTTACTAAAATAACTTTTTTTTTTTTTAAAGATTTTATTTATTTATTCATACAGAACTGGGGTACAGGCCAGAGATGCGGAGGGTGAGAGAATTCACTAGAGACAGAGTGGGGAGCAGAACAGGCAGATCAACGAAGTACACTGCTGAGGGGAGCAGCGGGCGGGCCAGGAGAGGTCTGCTGCGCCATGTGGTCACCTCCGGGGCAGGCGGGGATGGAACTCATGCGGAAGTGGCTTTAGATTCCCAGTGCTGTGCTTTAACCGGCTGCGCCACCAGGGAGGGCCCTAAAATAACTTTTAGCTCCCATTAGTTTCTTAGTCGCTGTCCCACAATTTACTGCCTTTAGCCCAAGCGCCTTTGTCTTGTGACAGCCCCACAGTTTGTTGTTCTGTGGTTAAAAAGGTAATATAAACATGTGGCCCTAAAATCTTCCTCAGGTCTTCATTTCTCATTTGAAGACTTCCTTGTGCAGATAAATGCTCCTCTCCTGTTAATCGATCTTAGATCAGTTTAATTCTTAGGGTGACCACAAAACCTAAGAAAGTAGAAGTAAATTTTTCTTCTCTATAAAAACAACAAGGATCCTGGGGTCTTGCTGAATGCAAGTTCAGGTACAAAGGTCTGCAGTTGGGGTACTAGCGAGCCCAGGGTAACCCTGTACACTCCAATGGCCTGGTGAGTTTTAAAGTTACCACGGGTGATTTCATTCATTTCCTTCAGGTAGGTCCCCAAGGAGACCTCCTGCTGAGCTCGGTCCTAGGGTGGTGGTAGCTGCTTGGCACAAGGAGGGAACTTGCATCCAGAGGCCCTGGAGTGAGACTGGATGCATGAGGTGCTTTGGGCCAATCAGGGGCACAGTGGGATTGCTGGGTGTCTAATGGTTCAAAGGATGTCATTTGGGGTGAGAGGGAGCTGGCAAGTGAGAAGCACCTAGACATGGAAGTAGGATAAATACTCTAGATAAAAAACAAAAACAAAAACACTGAGAAAGCTAGACATGACCTGAAATCTTTTATGGGATATAAGTGTGATAGAAACAAATGAAAAAGTGAACTGGGGACTTTGGTTTTTGTTTTTGGTATTATTTTATTTAAATGATCTCCAGAAGAATCTAGCAAAACATTTCCCCAAAGTCATAGAGTACAAAGTTGAAAAATGACCCTGAAGCCCAAGTCCTAACCTGTCTTAAATGTCCTATTCTTCATGCTAATGGGATGACCAGACCACAGAAATCTGAGGACAGACTCCTCTCCCAAGCCCCACAAACTTTGCATACCCCAAATTGAAAAATGTTTTGTAAAAAATTTTACTCAGAAATTGTGAAAGTTTTTTGAGTTTAGCACAAGCATTTTAATTACCTATTAATACACAGAATTCATAACTACATGCAAAGAATTGCATTAGTAATACACAATGAAAGAAAATTTCCAGCTGACTACAGAAAAAACTTGCTGAGTCGTTGCAACCACCAAACCTTTATCCCCTCATTAGATGTCATGACTCATCATCCTTGTCTAAGGGAATTTGGCCAAGAAGAGAAAATTCAAAGTTGAAATACATGCAGGGGAAATAACCCAATCCTCCTTTTCTCAGCATCTGTTAACTTGAAGCTTGAATAATAGTAAATGAAATACATGTTATGAGGATACAAGTCCCCTATAATCTTACCATTTCCCCCACTAAATATACATAAACTAATTAAAAAGTGGAGAAGAGGTCTATTAATCATTTAAAAGGTAAAGTTACTCATTTGAAATAATTTGTGAGGATTTTAAAAAATTAATTTAAAGGAATAGATATTTATGAGTCCAAATGGTTCCTCTCATCCCTAACAACTTCACATTCCACAGATATCATTTATTAAAAGTAATAACACTTCTAAGATCCTTCTTATTTTTTGGCAGGGGACATAGGCCAGACGTATGGTGTGTATGAGAGGATTCACCAGAGACAGTGGGGAGCAGAACAGGCAGATAAAATACACTGCTGAGGGGAGTAGGGGGTGAAACAGGGGAGGTCTGCTGTGCCATATGTGGGTCACCTCCCTGGGGATCTAACTCAGGTAGTAAGGATGATAGCACTGAGACTTAACCCTTAGGGCATGGGATGGAGGGGGCTTAGAATCCTTAATGAAATAACAATTCCATTGTTTGGGGAGACAAAGAAGTAAAAAAAGCATGCCCAAAGATAAGTCCTGTGATCTATGGAGGTTACATAGAGAGAGCCAAAGAGCTGGAAAGAACTACTGTTTAAAACAACTACAAACAAACCATCTTGCAAATAATCCCCATGCAAAAGAAGATTCTCTGCTTTCAATTTACCCACTTGAGCCAACCTTTGTCCTGCCCCAGATGGGTGGTAGAAACCCAGGTCAGCAGAGAATGTGACCAAGTTGAACCTCCTCCATCTGCTACCTCCAGCATCAGGCCTCCTTTTGAACATAAGTTTGAAATTAGAAAAATGCAGTTTTAGTTATTTTCAATTTTTTCTTTGTTTTTGGTGTTTTCTTTCTAAGCGCAGATTTGCCTAATGTCCTACTCGCAGAAGAAGTCAATATCCTGGGAAAAAAAAATAGACATGATTGAACTAAGTCGACAGGACCAGAAAACAGATGTGCTACTTCTTTATTTAAAATCACACAAAACCAAAGTGAAATTTGAATTTAAAATCAGTTAAGGTTGAAAACCACCCCACACACAAAGTATGACATGAATTATCACAACTCAAAAAGTACTTAAAATGATGGTTCCCAAACACATTTTTAATTATGGTTATTTGACCCATTCAAGTTAAAAAAGCCATGACAAGTGGGCACCATTGTTCAGAGGAGGCAATGTTTTCAAGTCATTCAGCACAGCAATGAGCTCCAGGAGAAAGGCTTCAAAGCAGCCACCTTGCAAAGTAACTAAGGGGATCTTTATTTTTGTTCTGCATTTTTAAGACCGTAGGGCACTGTAAAGAGTATAATATTTTACATGCAAAGAGTCTATCCACCACAAAATAAAACATTCAAGGATTTTTCCAGAATGTTTTAATTTTATTAAATAAAAGTGCTTATTCTTCTGGTTGCCCAATAAATAGATGGGATTAAATAATACAACCACCATTAAGAATCAGTTAATACTACTTTGGTAACTTTCTTTGTGACATGGACTCCTTTCCAAGGTAATTGGCATGAAAAACAAAGTGGAGAAAGCTGCCTGATCTTTCAACATAGAAAATAGGTATAAATGCTCTTGCAGAGCTGGCTGTCTCACGGGAAGGTGTGGGGGTTACCCTGAAACTTCTGAGTTGTGTGATGCATTTTCCAACACTAGCCTACATTACCCCAAGACCTGGAACCTAGGTCCACCTCTGAGGTGCTCACCGTGGTGGGGACTTCCTTGGTGGCGGCCAGATACACGTGTTGTTCCTCAACCAAATTCCTGGGGAAATAACCCACGGTTCCCATCTCATCCTTGTGGGGATCGCCGTAAACCTGCATGCCCAGAAGTGTAACAGTCAGGAAAGAGCTGGCCACAGTTCCCAACTACACACCTTGTTACTTTTATTTATAATTTTTTCATTTCTTAATATATCCATGATGTCATCCTTCATTTTTGTACAATGTATAGTCCCCCTGAAATTCCCACCACCAGTTCCCCGTGCACCATCACCAGTGTCCCATGAGCTCTTCCCACCCGGTGCTGGTCCTTCTCTCTTCCCCTCCCCTACAGAATGTCTCTGATCTATAGTTGCCGGCTGATTTCAATTTTTGCTTTATTATGTTATTTTTTTCCTGATTCCTTTTTTGTTTTCTCTACTTTCCTCCCATAAATGAGGCCATTCGATATTTTTCTTTTCCTTCCTGGCTTATTTTGCTGAGCATCATTCCTTCAGTTACTAACTGCCAATGCCTTGCTTCTCACTCTGGATTCCAGAAGCCCAGTGCCAAATTTGAAGTTTCCTGAGAGCAATTACATTATCCCACTGAAACGGTGTATCTGTTCCTTTTTGACCTAGTCTTATTGGCCTAGCTGCGTTAGCCTTCTTTTATTTTATGCCATCTTGTGAGCAGCCTGAAATCTTTTTGGAAATTATCAATAACTAAAGTCAGTAAATTTGTTAAAAAATAACTAGCCACTTATTTAAAGAGCTCTTATTTCTCATTATAAAGTATTTCAATAATATACATGAAAATGAATTTAGCTCTTTATTATTAGAAAAACTATTTTGAGGGCTAACAGATGAGAACAGTAAAACAGTCCTGTTTCATCCCTCCCCAAGCCACTGCTGAATGTTTTAACCAACGAAAGCAGATTCTTTGGAATTCAAGAGGATGCGTTTCCTTTAAAATATTGAAACTTAATCTGACTGCCAACACACATGCCTTTTAGTTGGCAAATCCTCCCAAACATTTTGAATAAAATTCAAACTCTTCAGGATGCTCAAGATCCCATGTGTTTAACTTGTTCTTCTTGCCAAAATATCACATAAACATACATTAGATTCTCTTATGAAATTATCTTTGTTGCTTTAAAATGCAATAAAAGTAAATACACATGAATACTTGCATCTACAACCTGTACATTGTTCTAATCAATTAATTTGAAACATTGAAATGCATTGACGATAGGGAAAAGTTAAGAGTAACAGGTAAAGATACGCATTTTTAAATATCTGATCTTACGCTGCCAGCCCAAAATTCTCCAGCTTCATTTTCTTTTACCAGCTTTGAGTAAATGTAGACCTGCTGCCCTTTTGTAATGTTAATAAATCTACAGTCAGGGGCATTATAATCTTCTTGTGCTCTGGCCAGAGAAATAGTATCTAGAAGAAAAAAAAAACAGCATTGAAATGACTACATTTTAGGCAGCTGGATTTTACAACAGTAAGGGCAAAACATAACAGAAAACTAAGAAATCAGAGTGACTAATATCTCACAGTTTACAGTTTTTGTTTAATTCAAGATGAGTAAGATAGCCAAAGTATGAAAGCTTCATGCAACAGTCTTAGTCAAGTGGCTTCTCCATAGTGAGACACAAAATACGGAGTAGGAGACACTATGCTAATCACACACACATTGGAGAAGGTTCACTTGGAAGCACAGTGAGGCTTGTGCTATTAGTATGTAGCTTTTCAATTCTATCCTAGGTAAATAATGAGAGACATAAAAGTATCCTTACACACACACTCGTCATCTGCACAGAGCTTCTTGGAAGCAAGTCTGTCCATAAATACTCCATGCACCACACATATGGCTGCAAGTCCTGGGAGGAAGAGAAATAGTCTTGCCATCTTCCTTTTCTGCTGTTTTTGCTGTCGATGCAGCCCTTCGACTAGGAGTGGAGACAACTGCAGAGGTTCCTGTCTTTTATATGAAAGTCAGACATCTGGGTAAGTCCCAGAGCCAATGGGAAGGTATCTACTATTCCTCTGCTTTTATAACAGCTACCAGGCTCCAGAGGCTATTTAGCAACTAATTTTCCAAGGAGAGTTGAACTCCTCGTCTTTTTTATACATGAATGATATCCAAAATGGTTCACCCTTGCTGAAGACTTTTTAGTTGTAGCTCATTTATCCAGCAGAGTATTGTTGAAAGAACTATATGAATTTTAAAACTTTAAAAAAAAAAATTTTAACCCTTATTTTCAACTTATGAGCAAGATCTGTGAACATAAGAAGGTTGAAAATGTGAGAGCTCTATCTCTAATATAAATAATTTTTAAAAGATTTATTTATTTATGCATACAGAACTGGGTTACAGGCCAGAGGTTCAGGGGCTAGAAGATTCACCAGAGACAGAATGGGGAGCAGAATAGGCAGATTGACAAGTACATTGCTGAGGGGAGCAGCGAATGAGGCAGGAGAGGTCTGCTGTGCCATGTGGGTCATCTCCCTGGTGGGGAAACAAACTCAAGTTGCAATGGCTGCAGACAGCCTTATAGCACTGCACTTTATCCCATTGAGCCACCAGGGAGGGCCAGGTTGCCGTTTTTAATAGAGCACTTGGGACAGTCATCTCTCTCTTCAGCACCCCTCCCATCCACCTTCATGCACACATTATTTCTAGAAGAGATGTTCCTATCAGGATGTCCTCAGTAACTTGATTAGTGGCAAAGTATCAGAGAAGAACCTTCTCTTCTCTCCCCTAAATGTGTTCACCTAATAAAATGAGGGACAAACATTCAACTCCCAAAGTAATTTCTATAAAAATTTTAAATAAGTCTATTTTTTAAAGTTTATACCTGGCCCTCTCTGGTGGCACAATAGGTTAAAGTGTGGCATTATGAGGCTCTCCAAAGCCACAGCAGCATGAGTTTAATTCCTGGCCAGGGAGGTGGCCCACGTGGTGTGGCAGACCTCTCCTGACCCACCAGCTGTTCCCCTCCGCAGTGTGTTTCAGTTAATCTTCTTGTTCTGTTCCCTACTCTATCTCTGGTTAATCCTCTTACCACTCCCATCCCCAGACCTCTGGCCTGTACTCCAGTTCTTGTATGCATAAAAAAAAAAAAGTTTATCCCTTTCCCAGAGTATAAAGTGGCAAGGCAAAGTATAATTAAAATGTAAAATTTGATTGGGGCATATATGTGTGTGTGTGCATATATTTATGTGTGCACACATGTGCAGTATTTTCAGTTTTTTTTAATATGGCTTATTTGGAATTTCAGTTAGTTTAATAACTAGATTGTAGTTGAGGAAATGGAGGCCTAGCAAAGGCTAGCTTCTCCTTTCACAACAATCCATCTAAAGATTGGGATTTTGATCCAGGGCTTTTTCAATTTATTCGCTGTCAAACTACAATTGGGATTTCTAATCCTTTATGTCCTGATTCACTTCAAGGACCAGATGAATTAGAAATCACTTTTGATAGCAGAATGCTAGTGCGTGTTTCCTTCCTATACCGTAGGGGTCTAAGCACTAATTTTATCGTCTTGATCTTGATTGTGCAACTGATGCAGTGTTAGAGTTTCAGGCCAGTCTTCAGCACAGGACAGTTAAAAGACAATTGTCCTTTTGAGGGGCACTTTTAAGAAATGAGGATTGCACAAACTCCGACTGCAACACTGATTACGAGCCCCCTCAAAGCAGAGATGTTGAATAAAGTTGCATTCAAGCTTTCACAACAAGTTAGTAAAGAAAGGCCAATGCTATCACAAAGCAATTACTGGTCATTGGAAGGCGAAATCAAAAAGCAACATCAAGCCTTCTGAGCATGCCCCAGGCAGCCTGAGATGTCCGACTGTTCTCCTGTGAGCAGAAACAGGAACAAGACCCTTAGAAATCTATGTAAAAGTTTGCTTGTTAGTTATTTAAGCTTAAAATAATTCAGCAAGAAGCTGTCTGGCAGTTCTGCTAGACACTGGTCGGGGGTCCTGAGCTTGCCTACCTGCTTCTCCAATTTTTAGGTGTGTTCTCTGAGCCTTTAGTCTCCAAAAGTTTCTAAATTTGCTACTCAGTCTGGAGTTCTTAAAATGGAGACTGTGGCTCCCTTTAGGGTCTGAAAATAGGCCTGGGCACTCGAGTAGCTAAGGTAGAAAGAAGTAGTGTCCTTGCCATCACCTATGAGGCCCAGCACTGCAGGCTATCTCTGAAGTCACCTCTTGTCACTCCTTCATTTACTCTGTTCCTGCTGTATCAGCTGTTTTCTACCTTTTGAAAATGTTAAGCTCATCTCATTTCTGCTTCAGGGCCTCTTAGCTCATTGCCTGGGATGCTTCTCTAATACACACTGACATTTAGGCCTCTAGCCAAGGTATCTCCACACATCTCAGTTTAGCAGACCCACTCCCACCAGCCCCCCCATCCAATCTGGCCACCCCATGACCGTGTGGTACACTGTCCGATGACATTTCGATATCTGACAGGCTGTGTTTATATATTTGGTGATGGTATTGTTAACTGACTATGCTATAAAAACTTCACCAAGTGAAGTAGATTTTTGCCTTTATGAAGGAGGTTCTAGTAAATTAGATAATTAGCTCAAATTGTGCTTTTCAAAGGCAGTGTATTGACAAATGGAAAATAGTATAAAAATGGAAACTTGCTCACATCTCCATTTTAAACTTCAAGACTTAACAAGCGTTTTGTCCCTTGAAAATGTATCCAGCAAAGATCTAATGAATGTGAAATTCTAGCTAACTATTCTTGCTGTATTTGATTTGCCCTGGAGCAGTACTTAAACTATAATGTTCTACAAATTACATCTGTGCTGTTAAAAATGTAGGTACAAGTATATCAGGTCTGGGAGTGGATCTAAGACACCTTTTTCTATAAACTGCTGTCAAACTTATTGATCTGTGGATCTTGTTAATTTTGTCCATTGTTCTTTCTTTAGTACCCAGAAAAATACCTGTACTCAAAAGCAGATATTCACTGAAAGAAAGAATACATGATCCCCCTGAAATTGTATGTTTAGGTGTATACTTGCATGTGCACTTTTTATTTCCCCTGGAGAACTTGCCTTGGTTTTATCAGATTTATAAAAGAGATCCATAATATCCTCTACATTAACAGTCACATTAAATTATTTAAGGCAGAGACTCTGGGGTGTTACACCAAAGCTTGGTCCCAACCAGTAAATTTGACATCAGTTTATAGAAATAAAAGTGTCTTAGATCCACTCCCAGATGTAATTTGTAGAACATTATAGTTTAAGTACTGCTCCAGGGCAAATCAAATACAGCAAGAATATTTAGCTAGAATTTCACATTCATTAGATCTTTGCTGGATTCATTTTCAAGGGACCAAACGCTTGTTAAGTCTTGAAGTTTAAAATGGAGATATGAGCAAGTTTCCATTGTTATACTATCTTCTATTTGTCAATACACTGCCTTTGAAAAGCACAATTTGAGCTAATTATCTAATCACTAGAACCTCCTTCATAAAGGCAAAAATCTCCTTTGTTGTTCTTAACCTTGGCTCACATTGGAATCATGCCAAGGAGCTTAGAATTATTGATGACTTCTCCAACCCTGGACACTTATGTTTAATTGATCTGAGGCATAGATCAATTAATGTTCCCCAGGTGATTCTAATAACAGCCAAAATTTAGGATTAAATATCAACATTTAGCCCTTCAATCAAGCACTCCAGGCTTGCTCCCATTCCCACAAATGAGAGGTCAACCCTCGTTTGATCACATCTTCAAAGTGCAGTTTGTGACTTTTCCCTGCTCCTTCCACCTTCTTGAAGACTTACTTTCTACAGGTTGCTTACATACAAGAGATTTGAGCAATATATACACAAGTGAATGGGATTAGTGGAGAGCATTACAAGAGGAAAGGCTAGAATAAATTTATAGCTGTTGGACTGCAAGAGGAGGTCCTGTTGTGTATTTTTTAAACTTAACTGTATGGCTAAAGACACATCTTATAGGAATAGATAGCTCTACATAAAATTAAGATCATGATAGGATGAGAAACTAACAGAGTAGAGATGACAAATGACATGTAACACATGATCCTAGATTGGATTCTTTGGCCATCCTTGATACCTCAGCAAAATTTGGATAACCTTTGATACTATTGGATTAAGGTAACTTTCTGAACTGGCTGGTCATGTAGATATATCATGGTTTTGCACTTGAAAAATATCCGCTGGAATAATGAGAAATCCAGTGAGATGGTTCAGATACATTTATGGGAGTTCTGTGGAATATTTCAACTTTTATGTTAGAAATGTTATCAAATGAAGAAAGATTTCAAGTCAGTCAGTTGCCGCTCCTTCACTTGAAATCTAACAGGTGTCCACTCAGACTTGTATGCAAATATTCCTTTTTTTTTATCCCCAATTGCAAATAATCCAAATATCCATCCACTGACAGAACTACTGATCCACATAACAGAGAGAACCTCAAAAATGAAGAGATAGACATCTATGTGATAGAAAGCAGCTCAGTGGTCCCTTAGGATTGGAGCTAAGGGAATATTGGCTGCAAAGGGGAGTTTTGAGGTGTTAGGAATACTCCCCACATTTTGATTACTATATGACCCACAACTGTCAAAAACACTAGAATGGATCAATTTTGTTGTTTTTAGCTAACTCAATTTTTAAAATCTTTCACTAGTTCTCTATTTCACCTGGGGCATAAGGAAGTCCTTAAGACTACAATCTCCTCCTCTTTCCTCCCTTCCTCCATTTCACTTCTCCCACATTAATCTACTTCCTCACAAAGAGCCACTCAAAGCTGCCATAGCTGGTATCTGAAACATTTTCTGTTCTGAGACAAGCTAAGAACAGTCACTGGGAGTAAGCAGCCGGAAAAGTAAATAGCATCTAAGTGCATGACTCTTCTTAAAATAATTCACCAATAATATATTTTACCAAAAAAAGTACATACTTGACTACTAGGTTAAAAGCACTTTAGCAAGGGCCCTCCCTGGTGGTGTAGTGGGTTAAAGCACAGCACTAAGAAGCTAAAGCCACTTCCACGAGTTC